AAGGTAAACTATCTATTTAGTAAATATAGCTATTATGCCAAAATAATAATTGCCAGTTTTAAATTTTAATACAGGTTTATGGATCCCAATTGATAACTAGTATGTTATAGTTAGCCAAAGATTTAAGTAAAAGATGCTTTTTCAATGTATAGCAATAAAATACTTTTTTTTATGTAAAAAAGAGAACAAGAAAAAGACTTTTACAGAAACCTGGATTTACATGATTATGTCTTCCCTTAGCCAGTATCCTAGCCTGGAAAATAAATCTTGAGTCTAAATGCTGCTATCCAACCTGAGAAACAGTAACATTAGCTCTTTAAGAAGCTAAAAAATAGTATACATATGGATTTATTTGCATATACTCGCTTAACATGAAAGATATATTTGAGGATAGGTCTATTTTAAAAATATTTGGATTCTATGTTTAAAAACACTTGCTCTCAACTCCTAATTTTCTGACTGACTGCAAAGGGGAATTTTCATTCATTTTCCAAAGTGATCAGTAATTCTTGCGAAAGTCGGGTCATGTGAGTCAGCCAAAAATACAATATACTCTTTAATGGATAATAGCTTATCTCAACAGTTATTAAGTAACGATGCACATATAGACCTAGAGAGCTCTTGTTAAAGTTCTTTGTGAAGGTAAAATGTTTTTTTTACCTTAATGCATTCCCTGTATTAAGGTTAAAAACCTGTCAGCTCCCTCAGCAGCCCCCTAAATACTCCCCCCTGAGCCCAATCTCGATCCAGCACTGTGCACATCTGCAGCAGCTCTTCTTCCTTCTTCCAGCTCTCACAGGCTTGGCTAAGAGCAGAGGGAGCCATTGGCTCCTGCTGCTGTCAGTCAAAACCTGTGAGCATAGAGCAGGAGGTGGTCCAATCCAAGCTGTGTATCTGAATAGATGCAAGCAGCTTGACTTGGGAGCTAGCCCACAGGGGTGCCCCCATTGGAAGTGACTTCCTTTGGTGGGCAGTCAATAGAAGGAGGAGCCAGGAGCATCGGCAGGGGACCCGAGAAGAGGAGGATCTGGGCTGCTCTGTGTAAAACCAGTGCAGAGAGCGGGTAAGTATAGACATGTTTGTTAATTTAATGAAAAAAGGGAAGCTTTACAATCACCTTTAGCTTGCTATAAACTATGCAAATTCCTGAGCTGATTCTTGATAAACTGGAAAAAATTCGCTATGTGAGTATCTTTCTTGCCACTCTCCCATCCAACATCCTTCAATTAAAGAACTGAAGGAGCTGGATGGAAAATTCTCACCTAAATAACAGCTGCATACAATCAGATACGACCGCTGTTTGAATATTCTTCTGGTTGTATGAATACAATAGCTGCAGAGCTAGAGCTAGTAACAAGAGAGTTGTTAAGCTGTATAGAGTGGATGGAGGAATCCGTTTTTTTTTTTAATGCAGTACATGAACAGGTCAGGAAGAAATCGCAAAGCATAATTAAAACACAAAGTCACAGGGAGGGACTCTGTAAGCCATTTAAAAATGTGTCTTAGTTTCTCCAGTTAACACCAAAATTATTATCTTTCTTAGATCACCTCTCAAAAAATTAAAGCGGAGGTCCAGTGGGAATTAAAAAAAAAAATATGTCAACAGCTACAAAAACTGTAGCTGCTGACTTTTATAAAACGGACACTCACCTGTCCCTCGATCCCGCGGTGTCCTCACTCCGGCCGTGTTGACCAACCGTCCTGTCTCCTCAGTGCTGACATCTTCAGCTTGTGGCTTCACAACCGGGAGCCCACCGTGCAAGCACGAGTAGCACTGAACTTTGTGAATGGTCCCGTAGTCTTCTGGGACCTATCACATGTCCCAGAAGACTACAGGGAGGGAGGGAGGAGGACAGCTTCAACTTCTATGCAATCGCAGCAGAAGTGGGGAGCGGGATACCTGTCAAATTTGGGTACCCCTACTCCCTAAAGGTGCCAATCCTTAACGGGGAGTGGGGGACAAAGCCTTAAAGTAGAACTTCCCCTTTTGGGTGGAGCTCCTCTTTAAGCTGTTTACACTATCAACATGTCCATCCTTGGCTCAACACGCTAGGGTAGATTATGTCCCCAGATGTATATCAGGGGTACAGTAGAGAAGCGAAAATGTAAGTTGCATAGATTGCCAACTTTACTTTTATATTGGCCATATGTGAAAAGATTCTAAGTCAATGAGAATATATTTATTTTTAAATTTCATTTTGTAAATGGATAGAACACTGTTTTAAACACCCCACCCTGAAAGTTTTGATCAATGAGTCAAACTCTGAAAAGTCTCAAATTGAAAACTGTGTACCCCCAGCTTCAGTTAAGAGATTAATGTTAACCTGTTTGTAAATAATGTAGAGTTTAGGACTACATATTATTTCTGTGTAGCAGATGACAGATAACTATTTAGTGAACTGGATGAATATATATCCTTTTCAACCTAGCCAATGGCATATCAGCGTTTAATTTGCCTGTTTTTCAGAATTATTGCTGACTATCATAAACACAGAGGGTCATATTCCAATTTTGTATCATATAGTTGTCTGGACATAATTAAGTCTGTATGCTCAGTTTTATTGCCTTATGTAAGTAGAACATTTGGAGTTTAAAGTGTTACTAAACCCAGGACCCTACATTCACTATATCTGGTCTCCCACAGTACACAGAACACGGAAATGCAATTATTTTAGTACATAAAAACTGCTAAATAACTTTTCTCAGCAGTTAGAGCAGTCTTGTGACTTCTACCAGTGCCCAGCAGAACACTGGTTAAAGCTTGTAGGAGGAGTTTTCATTTTCCCCTGATTGTCCTATGAGGCTGCAGGACCCTGGACCTCTGACCCTTTGTCCGGACAATGCTGATTGGCCCTGTGCTGATAACATGCACTCTTCCAAGAAAAAAAAAAAACTTTCTAGCAATACATACCACACTGAGCGTGTACAGCATGCCCCCAAGGCTCTGTTCTATCAGCAGATGGATTGGGAACAGTGAAAGAAGGAGAGGATCAGAGAAGACAGGATCAAACATCCTTTTTTACACAATGTGGAGGATTAACCCCTTAGGTATCACACTGAGTATGACAAGCATGCTTTACTGTATATACAGACTGATTTTACTGATGTGGGTTTGGCAATACTTTAAGTGATACCCTTTACTTGTTAGCCTAATTTAACTGTCATATATGTACAAGCAGGGGCGGACTGACCATTTGGAAACTTGGGCACTGCCAGAGGGCCCCAGGTCAGTAGGGGGCCCCATGAGACCCCTGGTACCTTTTTCATAGGCTTTTTTGAGTTTGGGCAAGGACACAGAGGCCCCATGATCCCCTATTGCCCGGGGGCCCCATGAGTTCTCAGTCCGCCCCTGTGTACAAGCAATACAAGAAAAACATTGTTATGCAGGGAATTCAAGTACTCTCTGAAATGGTGCAATATATGGTCAGCAGCATTATTCACAGACTAGAACAAGAGAGTCAGCTATGAATTTACCACCATGGCAACTCTACGGTTGATTAATGATTATACCTTTAGAGCTGAAGACACTGTCAAAAGTTCAAAAGCATCAAAGAAAACTACAAACTACATTTCACTGTGAAGAAAATGAATGATACTCTTCATTGCTTCCAGGTCTAATGCTACCAATATTCTTGTGCCAAAATTACCATTTTCCATCATGACTTGTTTAGTATAAGGTTTGGCAGGCATGTAACTTTATCTGCATCAAATAAGTAGAAAAATAGCAGATACTCTTCTGCAAGCTTTGGTTCCCACACCACCACTAATGACAGGAGCTGGTTCCTCAGAGTAGACTCTGCTCGAAAAGAAGAAAGCAGAACTGATCACTTTGTTGGAGGTCTTAAATCTGTTTATAAACCAATCCAACAAACATTTTTTTTGGAGTAGTTGCTTCAAATAGGCTCATATAGTGACAACAATTTTCTGTACCGCCATTACATAGCACAGTGGCTAAAGCTGGCTATAAACTTTAAAATACAATCTTTGTGTAGTCATCATTCAACTGCCTACAGTAAGTTGAGCACCTTTCTTCCTAGAGAGAAACAGGAGGGAAAAGGTTTGCCAATTTCAAAGTGCAGCCAGTGAAGCAGTTCATTTGTATGAATAACTACAAAATTTTCTTTAAGGCCTGGATTCAGACTGCCGCAATGTAATTCTGATGCGATTGTCAGTGTGATTATGTAGACTGACTATGATGCGACTTTGCATATTTTATGGGGACAAGCCGAACTGTAAGCCGAACACCAAAGTACAGGAACCTTTTCCAAAGGCACAATGATAAGAATAGGCACCATTGAGAATAATGTGATTTCCCCTGTCATATGTTTTTGTGCAACTCAAGAAGTTGCACTAGTGGAAACCAGCAATGAAACTAAGGGTCTGCTCACATCAGTGTGTTGTGGTAACACATGGAAAAACCAAGTTTTCTCCATGCAGTACTACAATGCACAGTGACCCATCAAGCACAGTACGAAGTTATTTATTTGGAATGGTACCCCAATGCACGTGCATTTTAGCATATCATAGTGCAATCTGTGAGCGGTAGCGCAGTGCATTAAAAAAATGTGGCATGTCTAGTTTTAGTGCCTTGGGGGGCTTTGGAAGCCCATTGGGTTTCATATTGGTCCAAAGAGATGGGCTGTTTATCACAACACACATGATTACCACAACACACTGGTATGGACAGGCCCCTATGGTTGGGTGGATGTTTTTAATTGATCTCCCATTGCTCTTATATTCTTTTATGGATGTTAACCAAAAGCCCCATATTAAAATAAATCCCTAAAACATTGAAATGATGGATGCAGATATCCATAACATTACTTCAGTAATGATAGCACTGCCATATTTAACACAAGGCACTTGAGCGCCTGTATCAAAGCAGAGAGCAAGTGCCAAAGCGTAACCGGCATGGTATCATTTATAAGCAGTGCTAAGTCAACACTGTTCACTTTATGTCTCTTTCATCTCCCTATATCTTTCCTCACAGTTGCCTTGAAATGAAATATGATGCTGCATGTACCTTCTGCAGGAAACATAAAACTACAATTAAATATGTCATCTATAGCATTTTGTTGGCAGGTAAGCATATAATACCACTGAGCTAGACAGTAGCTTTCCTTCCAAAAGAATGATTTGTAATACACTTTACTTACAAACAGTATATATTTCATTTACCTGATCATGTTGTTTCTGTAATAAAACTGGCAACCGGCTTATGCTTTAAAAATGTATGTGTACATACTTAAAGGATCAGTCCACTCAAAATGAATAACTTACTTCTGAGTGCATTTCGACAGTCAAGAACTATAGAAATGATCCCTGAAAGTATAGTCTTCAAATCTAATAAACTTAGTGTTTGATAGATTTAGGAGCCTTTAACCAACTGATTCTTTTTTCTCTGTCTCAGGGACTCTATATGAGAGCCTTTTGCATTGGATTTCCTTGATCTAAACAATTGCAATAGCCTTGTGAGGGAATCCCAATCTCCCTGTTGAATGTTTTCATTATTTAATACTATGGAGGATGCAACAGCTGTAGCTGAAACACTAGGTGGTCTGGAAGAGCTTTGGGATTTATAGCAAGGACATTTCACTGTTGGGCTATCAATAACATTTACAAAACCAGGTTCTAGATCAGCCCACCAGACCAGATGGACTGCTGGACTACATATATAATATGTACATAGAACAAGCTGTATTTGATAATTATGTATGGACTTGTTTCTCACATGATTTATTAATGACTCCATTAAATGGGTAATAGCAAATGCCCATACCAAAATATTAGCATGCAAGACATTTTTTTTCAACATACCTGAGTGCAGCACTTTAGTGACCAAGCAATAAAAATATATTGTTATATCTAGATGCATCTTGGCTGTACTAAAGAGTATAGCAAAATGGATGAAAGAACTCCCTCTAACATGAGCAAGCCCTTAGGAGCACAGGTCATATGACACTGGTGTCATCTATGTTATTGCAAGGAGAGGGTAGGGGATATCCCAAATCTTTCATTCTATGACCTAGAAGTATATAGTAAATACAAAATCTTCTTTATATATAGTGACTATTTGGTTGCAGCATATATCACAGTTCTTTCTATTGTTTTAGTCATTGTTCCAAAATGTGAATGGTAGTTCTGTGAATTTAGAGCCATTTGTGTTTTCCTCAGGTTTCCTGGCATTGGTGATTGCAGCTTGTGTGCTGAACTTCAGAAGAGCATTGGCTCTCTTTGTACTTACTGTACTGGTCATCTTTTTTGTATGCTGGGATTTATTCATTGACAGATTTGAAGGCAAAATTGTGAAATTCTTCTCCCCGGTTGGAGCATTTCTCAAGAAACAATGGTTCTGGATGAAATGGTAACTAAATATTATTGCTGGGTTTACCTTTTATGATTACTACACAATTAGTGCCCACATGTACACCTGAAAGCGGAACTAAACTCTCTCAATCAACATTAACTCTTTTTAAATGCTTATGCTGCTAGCTGTAGTAAACAGATAGGAAGGTATATTAAATTTGCTTGTTTTAAAAGTTTTTTTACATTTCTTCAGTTAATTGCTGGTTTCCTTGCATAGTCAAATAATGCCATACAGTCTAGGAGACTTCAGGAGTGGAGGGGTTTTATCAGCTAAGCAAACCCTCCTGCCTGCATACCTGAGGTAAGGGCAGATGGATTCCAGGAAGTAAATGCTGCATAAATCATCTGCCCTTGCTCAAGATGGCCATGGCCAGAAATGCTAGGGGGTGTTTTTCAAAATGATTTCTCAGCAAAATAATGCATGGAGACATAGAGGAATGAGTGAGTTTGCGTTGAATATTAAAAAAGAAATACTGTTTTCAGTTTGTGGTGCTCAGATACAGTTTAGCTCCGCTTGAAGTTCTGTAATATGCTGTCTCTCAGAATTATAATTATTATTTCAATATTTATGTTGGCTATGTTGCATTTTACACCTGCCGTCTTATCCTTAGGGTAATATGGATAAGCCTTGTTGTTGGCATTATATTGTGGCTTATTTTCGATACTGCAAGAATGGGAAGCAATCAGCTGATTTCCTTTGGTGGCCTTGTGATGTATATTCTCCTAATGTTTGTGTTCTCCAAACACCCAACTAAGGTATGAAATAAATATCTGGAAATAAACAGAAACTGATCCATTCATTACAATCGAAAGGAACAAATTATTATCCTGTTTTACTTTTAAGCTGTTAAAATCATGTGACCAAGAAAGTTTGCAGTGTGGTATTTACACAGATCTTTTTTACCAGCATTTGGCAGCTTACGTAGGAGGACTCTAAGGGATTTGGTAAAGCAGACATACTTACCTGATCCTCCATTCATGTAGGAACCTCTGTGCTGTTAGATTGGTCCCTGCAGCCTCTTTTCCCCCACGCTCCAGTGGTCTATGGTCCCCTAGTGTCATCAAAACTGATACAGGGTTCATAGTCCTGCACATGATGTGTAGAAGCCAAAGGGCAACTCACCACCATGTGCCAGGGGTGTGGAGGATCAGGTAAATAAAGTGCTTTCACTGTCCCCTAGACAAAATGGGTAGTTAAAGTGGTTCTAAAGTCCATATGTTTTTGACCTCTCTCCCAGTATCAAGGTAAAAAAATACATCAATATCTGCCACCCCCCAACACTTACCTTGCTCCTGTCACTGTTCCAGACACCCCTCCCCTCCCTTACAGCTTTCATAGGTGAAACTGAGGGAAGCTGAGCCATGGGCTCCTGCTGCTGTCAGTCATGCTCCTAAGAGGAGAGACTGGGCTTACCAGCGCTCTGTGTATCAGGAGCCCACACGCACAGGTGCTTTCTTACCACCAAGATTGCTGAGGTGCCCAGAGCAGGGAAAAGCTGATAGCCCTGGCAGAGGACTGCCTGAGGAGCAGAAAAGGGTGATTTCTGTGCAATATCATTGCACATAGCAGATAAGTAAATCCTCTTTTTTATTTAATGAAGAAAACATTTTAATGTAATTTAAATATAAAAACCTCCGCTCCAAAGATATAATAAATAATTATCCAGCTGCAATCACTAAACTCACTGTGGAGTGTGCAAAAAACAAATATACATATGACTGTGCTCAAAATATCAAGTGTTAAACTAACTAAAAGAAGAAAAAGTGAAAGCCTTGGTTCGCAATGATGCGAATTGTGACTGTCCAAATCACATGACAAATTGCATCCAATGATTGGCAAAGGAACTGTTCTAATCCGGAGACACACCAATTAGAAAAGTAGTTCCTGCATTACCTTTGCCCAATTTGGGGTGTGACTTGCATAGACATCTGTGCATGAAGTCGCAGAAATGTCTATCAAGTCACATCCGAAGTTGCACTGCCATCTGACTTTCAAATCGTGCACCTTCAAGTGAAGTTGCATGATTTCCAAGGCGCATCCAGTGTGAATTGAGGCTTAAAATAAAATTATATAAAATGTATCAACAAAATATTCACTTTCAAAATATTGTGCAGCTCAGTTCACAAACAATGTGTCCATAATAAGTATTCTTAAATCCAAAATAACAAAAATAAAGTCCTTAATGTCCATTATCAAGTCGCACCCGAAGTTGCACCACCATCTGACTTTGAAATCTCACACCTTCAAGTGAAATCGCACAATTTCAGATCCAGTGTGAACCAGGGCTTAAAATAATACAATATAAAATGTATCAACAAAATATTCACTTTCAAAAATGTTGTGCAGCTCAGTTCACAAACAACGTGTCCATAATAATTATTCTTAAATACAAATAAACAAAAATAAAGTCTTTTTAATGTCCACCATCAAGTGCAATATATATACAGTCATGGCCGAAATTGTTGGCACCCTTGATATTTCTCCAGGAAATCATGTATTTCTCACGAAACGTATTGCATTAACACATGTTTTGCTATACACATGTTTATTCCCTTTGTGTGTATTGGGACAAAACAAAAAAAGGGAGGAAAGAAAGCAAATTCGACATAATGTCACACAAACCTCCAAAAATGGGCTGGACAAAAGTATTGGCACCCTTTCACAACTGCGGATAAATAAGAATGTTACAAGCATGTGATGCTCCTGTAAACTCACCTGGGGCAAGTAACAGGTGTGGGCAATATAGAAATCACACCTGAAAGCAGATAAAAAGGAGAGACGTTCACTTAACCTTTGCATTGTGTGTCTGTCTGTGCCACACTAAGCATGGACAACAGAAAGAGGAGACGAGAACTGTCTGAGGACCTGAGAACCAAAATTGTGGCAAAATATCAACAATCTCAAGGTTACAAGTCCATCTCCAGAGAACTAGATTTGCCTTTGTCCACAGTGCGCAACATTATCAAGAAGTTTGCAACCCATGGCACTGTAGCTAATCTCCCTGGTCGTGGACGGATGAGGAAAATTGATGAAAGATTGCAACGCAGAATAGTCCGGATGGTGGATAAGCAGCCCCAAACATGTTCCACAGACATTCAAGCTGTCCTGCAGGCTCAGGGAGCATCAGTGTCAGCGCAAACTATCCGTCGACATTTAAATGAAATGAAACGCTATGGCAGGAGACCCAGGAGGACCCCACTGCTGACACAGAGACATAAAAAAGCAAGACTACAGTTTGCCAAAATGTACTTGAGTAAGCCAAAAGCCTTCTGGGAAAACGTCTTGTGGACAGATGAGACCAAGATAGAGCTTTTCGGTAAAGCACATCATTCTACTGTTTACCGAAAACGGAATGAGGCCTACAAAGAACAAAACACAGTACCTACGGTAAAATATGGTGGAGGTTCAATGATGTTTTGGGGTTGTTTTTGCTGCCTCTGGCACTGGGTGCCTTGACTGTGTGCAAGGCATCATGAAATCTGAGGATTACCAAAGGATTTTGGGTCGCACTGTAGGGCCCAGTGTCAGAAAGCTGGGTTTGCGTCCAAGATCCTGGGTCTTCCAGCAGGACAATGACCCCAAACATACGTCAAAAAGCACTCAGAAATGGATGGCAAAGAAGCGCTGGAGAGTTCTGAAGTGGCCAGCAATGAGCCCAGATCTAAATCCCATTGAACACCTGTGGAGAGATCTTAAAATTGCTGTTGGGAAAAGGTGTCCTTCCAATAAGAGAGACCTGGAGCTGTTTGCAAAGGAAGAGTGGTCCAAAATTCCGGGTGAGAGGTGTCAGAAGCTTATTGATGGTTATAGGAAGCGACTGATTTCAGTTATGTTTTCCAAAGGGTGTGCAACCAAATATTAAGTTAAGGGTGCCAATACTTTTGTCCAGCCCATTTTTGGGGTTTTGTGTGACATTATGTCATATTTGCTTTTCTGCCTCTGTTTTATATTTGTTCCAATACATACAAAGGGAATAAACATGTGTATAGCAAAACATGTGTTAATGCAATACCTTTTTTGTGTGAAATACTTGATTTTCAGGAAAAATATCAAGGGTGCCAACAATTTCGGCCATGACTGTATATATATATATATATATATATATATATTCTCTTTGCATAAAGGTGTGATGTCAAAGCACACAGTGTCCTTCACCTCTTCAAGTAAATGACTCACCTGTTTCAACACAACTTAAAAAAAATACAAAGTAAAAATGCGTTCTTTTAAAAGGTATCATCCACAATGCAGTCCACTTCCAATTCCATTGGAGCACTATGCAATCTTAAACAGCCATCGATGGGTTAATAGATCCACACTCTCTTCATTAATGGGCTTGCAAGCTTCACACAGTTCCAGAACAGTGGTCAACATGTCAAAAAATGAAAAAGAAGGCTTCACAGCCTAAAACAATTGATTATTTATTAATAAAAACCATCATAGGTACACTGACATTGCCATGCGTCATGCCTGACACTAAGGAGGTATTCGCATATACTAGTAAAGCCGCCAGCTCCAGCCGTGAACACAGGCTGAGGGTCAAAGCGGTTTAACTTTTTGCATTGTGAGTGCAACGCCACTGCAAGGGAGATGTTTCAGGTTCCTGGAGGGAAAAAAACTAGAAATGAACCTATGATCTTGCTGACTTAGTACAGATAAAGTGCTGTTTCCTGTATTATATATATATATATATATAATATATACTTATACACACACTTGCTAGGTCAAGCTTGTTGTATTGAAGATTTACATTTTCCTGTCTATTTAATGTGTGTGTATTGTGATGACAGTAACCTTGCTTTTGCTGTCTATTGGGGAAAACAGCTTTAAGTGGGTAGTTTTTATTCATTGTCAAAGAGCAGAGCAACGTGCTCCAGCTTCCCCGAGGTTTGCAATAATTCTGAAAAGCCTTGTGAAGGAAGCTTCTTTCTCTAAAAGGACCAATGACAACACTAGTCTAATCAACTTTGATTACATCAGGTACACACCACACCCTCGGCTCGCCAAACAGGCTTTCTCAGTGCTTCTGTCACAATATATTGTAATTTCTGGTAAACACAACAATAATCATGGTGCCCTGGTTCTGATGCTTCTGGCAAGTTTTATTAATGAATTGTTAAATAAACACATACAATCATACCTGTCCACCTCTAAGTATATAAACTGTCATCCCAATCTTACCAGGTGTAGGCCTAAAGTCTAGCACTATAAAAAAAAAATGCAAAATCAGCTTAGCATTTCACGTGGCTCCTGCAGCAAAATAAAATTTCTCTCTTCCTAGCACACACACCCTAGTGAAGAAATCTCAAACCTAGATTGTATCTGGTCCAACAGGAAACTAGAGATAGAGAAATACACCATATATATTATACTGAAAATGACTGATATCAACCAAGATGAACATGTGCACACTTTTAATACACAAACTAAAAATAATGTACATGTTGTCAAAAGTTAATATTTAATTGTATTTTTTATTGAAGCATTTCTTCGTAACGCCACTTTTTTATTTAGGTTAACTGGCGACAAGTTTTTTGGGGCATTGGGCTACAGTTTCTTCTAGGACTTCTAATTCTAAGAACGAAGCCAGGGTTCGATGCATTTGATTGGCTTGGGATACAAGTGCAGGTAAGAGCTTCCCATTGTTTTAGGGTTTATTACTGGCAATGCAAATGGCAAAGTACTCGCCATAGATACAAGCAGAAGTCATCATTTCCATCTAAGCTGCTATTATAATTCCTTTTCTCTGAGCATTGTGGTTGCATATTCCCCAAAACTTGCATAATAAAGAAATGTATAGCACATACACTATATTGCCAAAAGTATTGGGACGACTGCCTTTACACTCACATAACCTTTAATGGCATCCCAGTCTTAGTCCATAGGGTTCAATATTGAGTTGGCCCACCCTTTGCAGCTATAACAGCTTCAACTCTTCTGGGAAGGCTGCCCACAAGGTTTAGGAGTGTGTCTATAGGAATGTTTGACCATTCTTCCACAAGCACATTTGTGAGGTCAGGCACTGATATTGGACGAGAAGACCTGGTTTGTAGTCTCCGCTCTAATTCATCCCAAAGGTGTTCTATCAGGTTGAGGTCAGGATTCTGTGCAGACCAGTCACTTTCCTCTACCCCAAACTTGCTCATCCATGTCTTTATGGACTTTGCGTTGTGTATTGGTGTGCAGTAATGTTGGAACAGGAAGGGACCAGCTACAAACCAGGGGCAGACTGACAACTCATGGGGCCCCCGGGCAATAGGGGATAATGGGGCCCCTGTGTCCTTGCCCAAACTCAAAAAAGCCTATAAAAAAGGTACCAGGGGGGCATCTCATGGGGCCCCCTACTGACCCCGGGCCCTTGGGCAGTGCTCGAGTTTCCAAATGGTCAGTCCACCCCTGCTACAAACTGTTCCCACAAAGTTAGGAACATGAAATTGTCCAAAATGTCTTGGAATGCTGACACCTTAAGAGTTCCATTCACTGGAACTAAGGGGCCAAGCCCAACCCCTGAAAAACAACTCCACACCATAATCCCCTTCCACCAAACTTTACACCTGGCACAATGCAGTTAGGCAGTTACTGTTCTCCTGGCAACCGTCAAACTCAGACACATCCATTGGATTGCCACACAGAGAAGCGGGATTTGTCACTCCAGAGAACAGGTCTCCACTGCTCTAGAGTCTAGTGGCGATGTGCTTTACACCACTGCAGTTGCTGTGTCACGTAACTGAGATGACAAGGTCGGCCTCACTTGTGTCACTAGCCCTGACCCCACTGGAAGTGGAACAGAGGATGTCTAGGGACCAGGGGGGACAAGAGTGCCAGCAGATGTTGTTTGCAGCACTTTCAGCTGGAGTCCTTAAAAGACTGATGGACCACCGATTCAGGAACAGTAGCGATATGCTGGTATGGTAGATCGCCAGGCGTGCACCAGAGCAAGGCAGGAAGCTGGGGTGGGAGACAGGAGCAATGTCATAGGAATAGCCGGGGTCATCAATGGGCGGACAGTGAGGTACCAAATCATAAGCAAGCCAAAGTCAGGAGCAGAGCCGAGGTCAAGAACAAATATCAAGCAAGAGAGTAATCAAGAGTCAGGTCACGAACAAGCCGGGTCAGCAATAAGGGAATCACACAGGAACGAGCAGGAAACGGGGAACAGCTGAAGACCAGTCAGCACTCAGCACAGGCAGAGGCACCTTTTAAATAGTTTGTCTGGTGCCAATCTTCGCCGTGCGTGTGCGCGATCACGCATTTCTGTGCACATGCACATGTCTATTCGCCAGCCGTCTCACAGGAATTCCCTTACATGGTGACTTCTGCGCACTGTGTGCTTCAGCTGTTGCTGTTGTTCCCAGTTGCTTCCACTTTGTTATAATACCACTAACAGTTGACCGAGAAATATTTAGTAGCAAGGAAATTTCATGGATGGACTTTGCAACCTATCACGGTACCACTCTTGAATTCATTGAGCTCCTGAGAGCGACCCATTCTTTGACAAATGTTTGTAGAAGCAGTCTGCATGCCTAGGTGCTTGGTTTTATACACCTGTGGCCAGGAAGATGATTAGAACAGCTGAATCCAATGATTTGGAGGGGTGTCCCAATACTTCTGGCAATATAGTATAATTAAAAGAAAAATGTATCTTGTTTATGTGGCTATATAGTAGTGAAAGGTGAAAAGAAAATGAAACAAGGAGCAGCCCGCCTACCCTTATATATAAATATATCCAGAACTGGCCAAGTTTGATTTGTCTTGAAGAAAACCTGAGAGTATAAAAATTTAAAATTTGCTGTTGCTGACTTGTTTTTTAAAGAGGTGAGCTCCAGGGCTATCATCCTTGTCTTGGCTTCATTAACTAGTGAGTCCCTGACCTGCAATAAGCATTCAGACAGGAAAATCTTAAAAGTCTGATCTTTTGCACTAGAAACCTGTTCCAGGTCACTGATTACCTATGACGGCCCTAGAACCTGCACCTTTATAATCTAGTCAGCAATGGCAGGTCCAATAATAACATTTTCACAGATTTCATTTAAAGCTGAATTTTAGGTTAACTGTCACTTTAGTTAGTTTGTTTGGGCCAAGCTGGCCAAAACAAATTGCTTTCTACACTAGCAGGTGCTGGTGCTATATAAACTGTATAAAACCTTAACTACATATACAGTATAATGCAATATACAGTCTTGTGTTCCGGCGGTGAGACAAGTTTTCTCTGAATGAATACAAAGCTTCCTCTGATTGGTGTAGGCAGAGATTGTGACATCATCCACCTGCCTCAGCCAATCAGAGAAAGCTTTTTATTTATTCAGAGAATACAAAGCTGCCTAGCTGCCTAACTGAGCACAACTCAGGCTGACATTTGTTATGGGTGTGAGACAAGAAGTTCTCATCTCACTACTGAACACAAGGCTGTACACTGTATGTACAGTGGATATAAAAAGTCTACACACCCCTGTTAAAATGTCCGGTTTCTGTGATGTAAAAAAATTAGAGAAAGATAAATAATTTCAGAACTTTTTCCACCTTTAATGTAACCTATAAACTGAACAACAAACTGAAATCTTTTAGGTGGAGGGAAGTAAAAATAAAAAACTAAAATAATATGGTTGCATAAGTGTGCACACCCTAAACTAATACTTTGTTGAAGCACCTTTTGATTTTATTCCAGCACTCAGTCTTTTTGGGTATGAGTCTATCAGCATGGCACATCTTGACTTGGCAATATTTGCCCACTCTTCCTTGCAAAAACACTTCAAATCTGTCAGATTGCATGGGCACCTCCTGTGCACAGCCCTCTTAAGATCACCCCACAGATTTTCAATCGGATTCAGGTCTGGGATCTGGCTGGGACACATTCCAATTTTTAATCTTTTTCTGGTGAAGCCATTCCTTTGCTGTTTTGGATGTATGCTTTGGGTCATTGTCATGCTGAAAGATGAAGTTCCTCTTCATGTTCAGCTTTCTAGCAGAAGCAGAAAGTTTTTTGCCAATATTGACTGGTATTTGGAACTGTTCATAATTCCCTCTACCTTGACTAAGGCCCCAGTTCCAGCTGAAGAAAAACAGGCCCAAAGCATGATGCTGCCACCATCATGCTTCACAGTAGGTATGGTGTTCTTTTGGTGATATGCAGTGTTGTTTTTCTGCCAAACATATCTTTTGAAATTATGGTCATAAAGTTCAACCTTGGTTTCATCAGACCATAACACATTTTCCCACATGCTTTTTTGGAGACTTCAGGTGTGTTTTTTTCAAAATTTAGCCATGCTTGGATGTTTTCTCTTCATAAGAAAAGGCTTTTGTCTTGCCACTCTACCCCATAGCCTAGACATATGAAGAATATGGGAGATTGTTGTCACATGTACCACACAGCCGGTACTTGCCAGATATTCTTGCAGCTCCTTTAATGTTGCTGTAGGCCTCTTTGCAGCTTCCCAGACCAGTTTTCTTCTCGTCTTTTCATCAATTTTGGAGGGACGTCCAGTTCTTGGTAATGTCACTGTTGTGCCATATTTTCTCCACTTGATGATGACTGTCTTCACTGTGTTCCATGGTATATCTAATGCCTTAGAAATTCTTTTGTACCCTTCTCCTGACTGATACCTTTTAACAATGAGATCCCTCTGATGCTTTGGAAGTTCTCTGCGAACCATGGTTTTTGCTGTATGATGTGACTAAGTAAATGTCAGGAAAGACCAACTAGAAAAGCTGAACTTGCTTAATTCTGAATACAGCTACATCCCCAGTTTTAAGAGGGTGTGCACATTTATGCAACCACTTTATTTTATTTATTTATGTTTACAACCCCCCCCCCCCCCCCCCAAAAAAAAAAAAAAAGATTTCAGTTTGTTTTTCCATTGAGTTATACAGTTTATAGGTCACTTTAAAGGTGTAAAAAGTTCTGAAATTATTTATCTTTGTCTCATTTTTTAGCATCACAGAAATCTGACATTTTAACAGGGGTGTGTAGACTTTATATCCACTGTAGATGTCATTAGCCTGGGCACAGATGCACATTAAAGCAAACCTGTTCTTTGCCCCCAAAGGGGCTTTCCCAGCAGCATATACTTATCTTTTGTTTATTTCCTCATTGTTGTATTCAGCCATAGGGAGATAAGAAAAAATAATTCCTCCAGGTATGCAGGAACATGTGATTAGCTTTCCTTTCCTTATCTCCACTCTCCTCTTTCATTTACCAAGCACCATCGCTCTCACAGAAGTGGAAGAAGTCCTCAGCCCTGTGTAAGCCCCAATTAGAGCAACTGAGAGCTTACACAATCTTTCTCTCCTTGCTTCTATTGAGTAAATAAAGTGGTGGTGGAACAAAAAGAAATGGTATGGTCTGCTGGAGAAGGGACATTAAAAACAAACCTGTTGCTTTATTCTATGTTAAGCACAGGTGTGTTGAGAAGTGGGTCTCTAAATAACTTTGAGTCAGCATGAATAAATTCCTGACATGCCACAATCTGAAGCAACAGTATAATTTTCAGCTTTATTTTAAACATTATAAAATAATCCTTGAGCTGCAGACAACATCTCAAATCATTCCAAGAAGTAGATAGCGACCCTGGATTATGTTCTGAACAAAGATAGCAGAGAGAAGTAGATGAGGGCATTGTTGGAGGGAGTACAGTGATCTCTTTGAGTAGTAAGGAATACTTGTAATTGTTCCCTGTTAAGATTACAGCATGCTTGCACTTAATATGAAAACATATGTATGTATGATGTTAAAGTAGCTGTAAACTCAAGGAGAGTTAAAAACCTTTTTTCATTAGATTAATTTTATCATGTTCCTAATCCATGTTTTATTTTATTAACTTGCCTGTAATGTATTTTATGCCTAAAAGAGAAGATCATGTGCTCCTAAGAGATTCATGGACCTGCTGGTGGGCTTGTACACAGTGGGGAATTCACTATCATTTGAGGAAATTATGTTTGCTGCTGGGTGTCCCCGTTTACAAGACAAGCACACCCAACAGCTACACAGGAGGGGAGGAGTGGATGGTGGGGAGAAGCAGCTGGAGGGAAATCCCCAATAATGTAAACCAGGAGGGATGGCCAGGGGGTGTTGGATTAGTACTGACCACAGAAGGTACAGGCACACTGCGGTTTTTTTTTTTTACTAAAGCTGGTTCACTCAGAATCTCGTGCAAGTCTGCATAGAAACCAATCAGCTTCCAGGTTTTATTGTGTTTTGGCGGTTTTCCTACCGCACCTATTCACTTGGTTCTATCTAAGATTATAAATGTAATGTGATTATAACCTTTTGTCTATACAGTACATGAATTTAGCCAATCCTGATGTGGCTAAAACCAATAATGTTAATACCAAATGATAACAACTGGGCAAAAAGAAAGATCTAATTTATTTACACAGTAAAGAAGCTGACTACTAATCAGTTATGACAAAATAAATAGTAGCCGGCATAACTTTAAAAGTAGTAATATTACAATGCAAATACAGAATTTTACATATACAAAGAAAGACTACAGGAAAGAAATACAGAAAGGAAACATAGAATAATACATTTCGCAGACATCCTGATGATTGGTCTTCCAAAGAGGCAAGGGGACAAAGAGGCAGAAATGTGAGCAATGTCATACTTTATACCCCCTCCCCCCTCCATTCCAGGTAGTCAAACCCTTCAACAGGTTCTGGTATTTTGCCATTTCTGTTCAAAGGGGGGCTCTGTGATTTGTGAAAGACATTGGCCAACTGTAGTTCATCATATGGAATTTAGGATGGGCCAAAGCAAAGCATACCTCCTTTGAAAACCGGGTTCCCACAGCAAAATCTATGACAATACTCCCTAGGAGGTGTTAGAAATGACGACTCCAGGGCTTATTCAGCCTGATGGCCCTACTGTCATAAACCTCTACAGGAAACCTTCTAAGGGGGGTGTTGAGGTGATGCAACAGATAAGTTACAGAAATTGAGACCCCTATCAGAAGTTCACATTAATATTAAAAATTATTGTAGGCCCAAAATATCTATCACAATTGGTAAAGCTTAATTGAAGAAGCTGAGGTTAGAAGCTGATTGGCTACCATGCACAGGTGCACCAGATTCTAAGTGAACCAGCTTTAGTAAATCTCCCCCACTGTGCTCTTGTACAGTGTGCCTGTACACACCACGAGATGATACTGGCATGGTCAGTTTATGTCATAAAATTGTGCCAATATGAATTAAAGCATCCAAACCATGTGATTATGCAACAACGGTGAAAACATTGAATACACCTTAAAAGTCCATAATGTGTGCAGTTTACACTCAGGAGGAGAGGCACAGGCAGGATCAACCAGGTATTACAGAACACTGGCAGCCTGAAAAAAAAATTGTGACATTTAGTCTACTAGTTGGTTTCTAGAGGAGTTTATTAGCTGTAAAAACACTCTGACGCTGTAAAACGTGGTAAAATGCAGCAAACCAGCATTTTTTTTGGAGCAAAAAATTTTTTTTTGTAAAATAAAAAAAAAGGTAAAAAACGCTCACACGGAAAAACACGGCTAAAAAACTTTTTTAACGTGACTTTACACAGCTAACGCTACCAGCAATATTAAAACACCCAGTGTGCATGGAGCCTAAAAATGGTAAATGAATGAGTTCAATATAATTGATCTTTTGTCATACCTATGGACCTATAACATGCACCGTATGGAAAAAAATGTGTGATTAATATTACACAAAGAAGGGTGTATGCTGGCATATTTGAATTTATATGAAGGGTTTTTTATACTGTTTTATACAGCGATTCAAACAGAAAAAAAGTGATTGCACAATTGCCATTGTAGATCCAAACATTGATGGAACAAAATCTTGGTGCCAAAGACTGCTCCCTTGTAATTCTACTTTCAGTGATGCTGAACATGATGATAGAATTGCAGAGAGAAAACATGACAGGGATTCAGTAATCTTTTGCAACTCCGCAACAGATTTCTTTGTCAATTAATGCTTAGCTGATACCTCTTCAAAAACATGCACATGGCATGTACGTTAAGTGATTTCAGCATTCAGCCATGACTGCCAGCCAAGTGAATGTCACAATATAAAGCAAAGAATGGTGGCATACAAGCAGGCCGTAATGATCCATCACAGAACAGCTAGTGACAAATTAAAGAGGACTTAGGCTGCCTGTATGCTATTTACATGTGCAAGTTTAACCATTACATGTGTTTTTTTTTATCTGTTAATTATGATTATTCCCTGGCAGTGCCTTCCTTTTCTTTTTTTCATAACATACAAAATATTTACCAGCACACTTTCCAGCTAGTCAGCATGAAAACACACTTAGAATATATGTAAACCCTCACCTTGTAAGACAACCCATTCAGTTTAAAATAGAAATGAAAGGCAAAACATTTGTTTATATACAGTATATAAAAACATTTTAAATACCCTTTTTCCCCTTTTTATAAGTGATCACATACTCACTATTTTCAGCTGCATAAGGAGCTCAGAGTGCTGGAGAAAGAGAAACAGTAGGATACTGATCTTCCCAGTGAATGGCTGTGAAAAGGGGGCATGTCAGGACAAGCATTGGATTAGCTCCCATCATTGGATTAGCTCCCAGCACAGTTAGACAACTGACCGCACTGTGTTCTCATGGCTAGTGTGGTCAGTTTTTAATAGGAATGCAGAGGGTATTGCAGAAACACCAGGTATTTCACACAAAGAAAGAAATACAAAGAGAACAGGATACTTTTTCATACAAGTACATGGTACAGCAGACACATATCAGGACTATGAAATGTTGGCTTTACATAGCCATAAACTGTTTCATTATTTTAGGGTAAACAGGTTTTAGATGCGTACATTTGCAAATACATATGAAAATACACTATCTTGGCAGGTCACCCCTGCAAAGTATGTTTCCTAACTCTGAGATCACAGCAGAGAAATACAAAGCAGCGTGTCTCCCTAGTAAAACACACAGCACATATTGTTAAGCAGCGCATAGCACACAGTTAACCCTTTGATCTCCCAAGATTTTTACCCCTTCCTACACAGTGTCATTAGTACAGTGTCAGTGCTTTTTATTAGCAATCACTGTATTATTGTCACTGGGGATGTCAGTGGCAGTTAGTCAGGTCCCACCCAGTGTCAGAATGCCCACCACAGTCCCATTATAAAAGCTAATCACTGACATTACTAGTATAAAAAAAATAAATAAAAACTCCAGTATATATACCGCCATTTGTAGACTCTATAACTTTCACGTAAACCAATTAATTTACACGTATTGGGATTTTTTTTTTTAGCAAAGACATATAGCAGAATAAATTTTTTTTTTCCAAAAACAATTTTATTGAAAAAAATTAAAGCAGAGTAATGACAAATACAGGTTAAAGTCAGATCATAGACACAGCTTAATAGTTGCCCGTTTCACAGACGGGGTGTAGATCTGGAACACATATAATGTTGTCAAGTAACATAGAATTATACAAAAGGACGTAAACCAGAAACAGGAGAGAGCAGGTTCCAAACCAGGACAGGCATATAAAAATATAAACATAAAGTAGGGTAATGCTATCAACCAAGCCTCATATGAGCCCCGTTAAAGAACAAATGTGATGTGGTAGGATGTGATAGGGGGGTGAGCTTAGCAGATAATCAGGTGTCTACCCCTAAGGGGCGGAGGCTGAGGAGCTGCAATTATACCTGTAGGACAGCTAATATTCTAGAATCATTTGAACTCAAAGAAATTAGAAAGTAGTGATAAGGATGTGGGATAAGAAGAAGTGGGAGAAAGAGAGGGCGAGAAAGAGAGAGAGGAAGAAGAGGGAGAGGGGAGAGAGATGGAGAGAAAAAAAAAAAAAACGGTGGGGGGGATGGAACAGTTGCAACTACATCAGGTCACACCGTTTTAAGCTAGTCCGAGCAACACTCAGATGTCTCATATGGCATTATAGGTAGGCTTGTGTAATAGTCCACTATAAGGGTCAGTTTTCTTAATATTTGGGTCATAATATTCGGTCTTGGTTAGGCAGGGTGTACAGTAGCAGAATACATTTTGGCCTAAATTTATGAAGAAATTAGATTTTTTTAAATTTTTTTACTGGATATGTTTTACAGCAAAAACTCAAAAATATATATTTTTTTCAAAACTGTCGGTCTTTTTTGTTTATAGCGCAAAAAATAAAAACTGCAGAGGTAATCAAATACCACTGAAAGAAGGCTCTATTTGTGGGAAAAAAGGACACACATTTCATTTGTGTACAGTGATGCATGACAGCGTAATTATCAGTTAAAGTAACACGTGCTGCATCACAAAAAATGGTCTGGTCAGGAAGGGGGGTAAATTCTCTGGAGGCAAGTGGTTAAAATTTCTGTATGCACATCAAGACTCACCTGTAATTTGGAATGAAGTGCACCTTTAAAATTGAAGATATGCAAATCCGACTCAGTATTGTGTTGACACAAATCAGTTGATGGTACAAAGTGAAATTGAATGCACTTGAATCAGTAAACATGTAAGTGTATTTCCTATAAACTGTCATTTTTTGTATCATTTTTTAGACCTTTTTGGAATACTCAGATACAGGGTCAAAATTTGTGTTTGGTGATAAGTATCTGGACCATTTTTTTGCTTTTAAGGTAAGACTTACACAATCCTACTTTTTTCATCTGTATTAACTTCTCTTTATCCCTAGTATGCCCAAATTAAGTCATCCATCTAGCTACATAACTAGTATTTTTCACAGATTTTTTTTTTTGTTGTTGTTGCTTATCATTTGTTTTATATGTGGTAGCATAAAATGTAACAAGTTTTGCTTTAATTTGCAAATAACTTTGCCAAGCTTTCCACCTAAAGCATAACTGATACAGGGAAAATTGCAGAATGATTACTGTCTATTTGTAGTAACATTAGTTGCTGAAAATCACGGGTGAAAGACAAAGCTAGCTTTTCACATTTTAACTTCCTTTTGCATTAATTGCCCCGAAACAATACATGTGTAATTTCTGCATTATAACATTGCTACTTCCAAATGAACAGGCACATAACTAATGTGAGAATGGCTCTTGAGCTAAACTTGTTGAGATGACCTTATTCATATACAGCAGATCTTTTAAAAAAACAATCAATTAAAAAGACTACAAATTCCTTTGTTCCAAAGCTGATCCCATACTATACACAGACTAAAATGTAACTTCCGCTTCTGTTTTGTGACTGTCATCACTTAGGTCCTGCCGATTGTGATTTTCTTCAGCACGGTCATGTCAATGCTATATTTTCTTGGCTTCATGCAATGGCTTATTAAAAAGGTGAATATTCATTTCTGTTATTTATCTGTATATCTTTTCTGGAGGAACATTTAGTTCTGTATAATTACCTTATACTTTTTTAGGCTTAGGCCGAATAACATTTTTAATGGTTACATCATTCAATTGTTTTGAAAAATTTCTATTATAATGTTAACACATTGTTAGTGCCACCTGGATCCTGGTAACAAGACTGAGTGGGAGGAATTTTGCATTGAGGGGAATTAACTAAAACAGAAGCAGTCACATTCTGGAGCATAGTAACCAATGAGCTTCTAACTTTAGCCTATTCAGTTAATGTGTTACTAAACCCAGGAGTCTGCATTCACTATATCTGGTCTCCCACAGTACACAGAATATGGAAGTGCAATTATTTTAGTAAATATAAACTGCTAAATACCTTTTCTCATCAGCAGCTAGAGCAGTCTTGTGACTTCTATCAGTGTCCAGCCGAGCACATGTTAAAGCTTGTAGGAGGAGTTTTCATTCTGCTGTAGAAGGATGCAGGACCCCTGATCTCTGTCTGGACAGTGCTCATTGGCCCTGTGCTGATCAAATACACTCTCCAAACAAACAAAAAAAACCTCTCTAGCAATACACACCAAAGTGAGCATGTGCAGAGTGATTCCACACAATATGTCTTATCAGGAGATAAGACGGGGACACGGGAAGAAGGGGAGGATCAGAGATGTCAGAATCAAACAGCGTTTTTACACAATGTGGAGGATTAACCCCTTAGGTTCCACAGTGAGTGTAACAAGCATGATTTGCTGCATATACAGACTGATTTTGCTATTGTGGGTTTAGTAAGACTTTAAGCTTTGAAAATGAACAATTGAAGCAGATTGGTTGCCATGCACAGTTGCTCCAGATTCTGGCTATTCCATTCTTAGTAAATTCTCATCAATATATCCTGGGCTGACAGTAAAATGCTATAAAATCAGCTTAACTGTTTTTTCTTTTTGAAGGTTGGATGGGTAATGCAAATAACTATGGCAACAACTCCAACAGAATCTCTAGTTGCAGCAGGGAATATTTTTGTGGGCCAGGTAAGCCATTTATGTTTTTTTAAATCATTTATTACATTTTACCTATTTATCTTTCAAGTAACATTTACATCACTCTTAAAAAAAAAACTGTTCTGGCTGTCAGGCTGACTCGATTCTTGAAATAATTCCTCACTGCCTTAAACAAGTATCAAGATCAGGAGTTGTGACTCCACTATGAATTTTCTGATCTACATTCATGTTCCAGGTCAGTGTCAGAGTGCTGAAGACAGAAAGGGCCTGTGTCCCTGGGCTTTTGTACACTTTATTTACTTCAAACGGGTTTCCATTCTCATACAAATATATGTGAAAGAGAAACCCACTTGAAGCAGGCCAAATGTAGGTCATACAGAGTTTAATTGCAGGTCAAATGCACCAAATAATTTCAGAAGCATCTCAAATTGTTGTCAAATGGATGCCATCATGTTCTAACAGCCAAGCAACGGGCATTGTCATAAGGAGATAAACAAGGGCAGCTTCTGTATTTCTCTTACTGTATGTTTCCTTTAAAACTGATCAAGAAGGTAGGGCCTGATACCTGACCTTGTATTCACGTCTAATTGGGACAGAAGAACATAGGGAGGGGCATCCACCACCCCCTGAATGGCTATATTGCCAAAAGTATTGGGACGCCTGCCTTTACACGTACATTAACTTTAATGGCATCCCAGTCTTAGTCCTTAGGGTTTACCCTGTGCAGCTATAACAGCTTCAACTCTTCTGGGAAGGCTGTCCACAAGGTTTAGGAGTGTGTCTATGGGAATGTTTGACCATTCTTTCAGAAGCACATTTGTGAGCTCAGGCACTGATGTCGGACGAGAAGGCCTGGCTCGCAGTCTCCGCTCTAATTCATCCCGAAGTTGTTCTATCGGGTTGAGGTCAGGACTCTGTGCAGGCCAGTCATGTTCCTCTACCCCAAACTCACTCATCCATGTCTTTAGGGACCTTGCATTGTGTACTGTTCATGTTGGAAGAGGAAGGGACCATCCCCAAACTGTTCCCACAAAGTTGGGAGCATGAAATTGTTCAAAATGTCTTGGTATGCTGATACCTTAAGAGTTACCTTCACTGGAACTAAGGGGCCAAGCCCAACCCCTGAAAAGCAGCCCCACACCAAACTTTCCACTTGCCACAATGCAGTCAGGGAAGTACTGTTCTCTTGGCAACTGCCAAACCCAGACACGTCCATTGGATTGCAAGACAGAGAAGTGTGATTCATCACTCCAGAGAACATGTCTATACTGCTCTAGAGTCCAGTGGCGGCGTGCTTTACACCACTGCATCCGACACTTTGCATTGCACTTGGTGATGTAAGGCTTGGATGCAGCTGCTTGGCCATGGAGTTCCATGAAGCTCTCTATGCACTATTGTTGTGCTAATCTGAAGGCCACATGGAGTTTGGAGGTTATTAGCTATTGACTCTGCAGACAGTTGGCGACTACTGTGTACTGTGCGCTTCAGCATGCGTTAACCCCGCTCTGTAATTTTACATGGCCTACCACTACGTGGCTGAGTTGCTGTTGTTTCCAGTTGCTTCCACTTTGTCATAATACCACTAACAGTTGATCATGGAATATTTAGTAGTGGACTTATTGCACAGGTGGCAACCTATTACGGTACCACGCTTGAATTCACTGAGCTCCTGAGAGCGACCCATTCTTTTACAAATGTTTGTAGAAGCAGTCTGCATGCCTAGGTACTTGATTTTATACACCTGTGGCCCTGGAGGTGAGTGGAACACCTGAATCCAAGGATTTGGAGGGGTGCCCAATTCTTTTGGCAATATAGTGTGTATATATATATATATATATATATATATATATATATACACACACTTGTTTTTGTATTTGTTTATATCAGACTCGATGGACAACTGAAAATAAAAAAGCAAACATAAAAGCATTCCCTCTTAGGAAATGCCAAAAGCTGTTGCAGCTATATTGGGAGACCCAAAAATGTGTGATTGATGTCAACACTAATATCTTTACAAATCAAGGAACAGCAAGACATACCAGCAATTTTGGGGTAACCACCAACTTAACAGCAGTCTTTTGGGAAAAGACAAGACTACCATAAAATAAAACCCAATGCCAGCATTCATTTTGTAGAAAACCAAAACATTTTACAATATGAGTTTGCAGACACAAAGGTGCACCATTTTTTTGCACCATTATCAACATTAAATATGAAAACTTGCAAAAACTATATTTTGTTCAGTAGACAGGTTTTAAAGGTTTCCCAATATAATTATATAGGCACTGAAAGTTGAAAAGCCAAGGAATAAATCTCACTTATTCACTTATTCTAATTGTTTTATTCTATAATTAGCACATGGTTATCATGCCTTAATTCCTTATCATGTTCTTTTTTTATACAAGAAGGCTTGATATTTAAAAGAAAATTGCTAATGATAAGAAAATGAAAAGTTATGTTTTACAATCTGTAGAAATTCAGATAGTCTGATGCAGCTGTGATAGGGGAGAAGACGTTTATGCTGCTGGGGTCCTGGGGGGCTGTAGGCTAATTGTTTTACTGCTTGCTCCAACTATAACTGAAATGCTTTACATAATCTGGGAGTCCAATCTCATTGATATCAAGACATGTCATTTTCCCACTTAACACTATGTGCTAGATAATTTACAGCAGATCTGCAACCAAGATTACTTGATAATACTGATGCTTGTTTTTGTTTGCAGACTGAATCTCCTCTTCTAATTAGGCCATACTTGGAGCACTTAACCAAATCAGAAATCCATGCTGTGATGACTGCTGGTTTTGCTACAATTGCAGGGAGTGTACTGGGAGCATACATTTCCTTTGTGTGAGTATTGGAATTCAGTAACAATTAATGTCATGTGCCCAAACATTATAATTCTTTTGCTTAACAGAACTGTCAATAGTAACAATTGCTACTCCAATGCTATGTATACATGTCCATTTGTGGTATTCTTCTAAAACAAAAAACAAACAAAATGTCAACATACGATGGAAATTATCCTCCTTTTTTCTCCATAAATTTCACTGGGACTTTTTAAAGACAGCATACCAGTACCAGATGGGCATATAATGAAAACTGACAAAATGACCATAAGAGCATATGTACCAAAGATGTGAAGGGATGTTGCAGGCAGAATGGTAAATCACATAACGGATACAATATAACCTCCCCCAAACAAATATCCCAAGAAGGCAGGCATCTCTTTTAGAATGGATTGATCTCTTATTTATTTATTTTATTTCAGGTACTTATATAGCGCTGTCAATGTACACAGCGCTTTACATATATATTGTACATTCACATCAGTCCCTAACCCTCAAGGGGTGTACAATCTAAGGTCCCTAACTCACATTCATACATACACATACTAGGGCCAATTTAGACAGGAGCCAATTAACCTCCCAGCATGTCTTTGGAGTGTGGGAGGAATCCGGAGCACCCAGAGGAAACCCACACAGGCACATGGAGAACATGTAAACTCCAGGCAGGTGGTGCCATGGTTGGGATTTGAAAAAAAAAACCCTAGTACTGTTGATATTGTTCTTAAAATCCTTCTCTTTTTTTTTATTTAAAATCTATTTTTTCATACGAGATATCTTACTGTACACTCTAACAATTACCACAAAAAAAATAAATAGGGAAACAAAAGGTATTTGGCAAATCTTTACCTTCCATGCCAGAACTGTGGAGTTTATTTACTAAAGATGGACAGTGCAAATTCAAGCTCAGTACTGCAATAGAAACCAATCAGCTTCCAGGTTTTATTGCCAAAGGTTAACTGAACAAGCTGAGGTTAGAAGCTGATTGGTTTCTATGCAGAAGTGAGCCTGATTATGCAGTCTCCCCAGCTTTAGTAAATAAACTCCTGTGTGTTTTCACATGGGACTGATGACTTCTGGCACTTATTCTTCTTGCATCAGGTAAAGGAATTATAAGAAATAAATGAGCATTTGAGATTAGGTAAGGGTTAGGTCAAATGTTTGAGGGTTTGCTTATTATTATTATTTAAGGTACTTATATAGCGCCATCAATTTATGCAGCGCTATACATATATATATAGTACATTCACATCAGTCCCTAACCCTCAAGGGGTGTACAATCTAAGGTTTGCTTAATGTCCATCACAGTGCAAGTCTATAAGCATTCTCTATTATAAAAGAAATGCACTACCTATGAGTCCGATTAGCTTTACAGTTTTTATGCAGAACGCAGAAAGAGCAACTGGGAGATAATTCTTGTGGCTTGTTACAGGGTATACATCTCATTTATAGAGTAGTTACACCCATGGGTTGCTAGGGGTCTTTTCTGTGCAACACCCTATCTAAGGCTGGCCATACACTATACAATTTACTTACAATTTTCTGTCCTATTTCTGCCCAATTTCCTTTAGATTTACCTTCAATTACGTAGTGCAAGGGCCTGCCTAATCAGATACAATTGAAAGTGTTGTTTAGGTTTGACCTCATATTATATGGTTTTTGGTAAATGTAAAGCAAAATTCTCAAGAAAATTCTATAATGTATGGCCAGCCTAAGCAAGGGATATATATAACTAGGAGGTTCTGGGGGAGGAGGAGTCCAGAATTAGTCCAGAAAAAGGAGTCCAGATTGAGGTGGAATTAGTGTTTTTCAGAAGAATGAAGATTTCCTGAACCACAATGTAGTGGCGTAGTGTACAGGGGTGGACTGACCATTTGCAAACTCGGGCACTGCCCGAGGGCCCGGGGTCAGTAGGGGACCCCATGAGATGCCCCTGGTACCTTTTTCATAGGGTTTTTTGAGTTAGGGCAAGGACACAGGGGCCCCATGATCCCTTATTGCCCGGGGGCCCCATGAGTTTTCAGTCCGCCCCTGGTAGTGTAACACCTTCCTTTGGAGAAAAGCATAGAAAAACCCTTTAATAGGAAAGAGGGGAAACTGAATCATTCTTTTGCCTGCCGAAACTTAGACCGAAGACTGTGAATAAATATTGGGTGCTGCATCTCTCCTTGTGGTGAGTTCCTTTTTACAAGTCAGACTAAGTAGAAAACACATCTTGTGTTGTTTGCTCTTAGGCATGACCTATGTTTTTAAAAGATTACTATATGTTACAATTAATACAATTATAGACTACAGTATTCCTTTCATGGGATGATGATGGATATAGCAGTGATTAACAAGTGAATCCTCTAAAATATTATGCAGAGAAAGTTCTTTTTTTTTTTTACGTTGTATAAAAATGAAGATTTAGATGTAACACACAATGTAAGGTTATGTTGTGTGCACAGGGTCCCATTACTCCAGAGGACCCAAGCATTATTTTCCTTTACATTTCAGTTCTCCTCTTACTCTAAATTGGAAACAAAGTGAAAGGGCAATCTAGATTATGAAAGAACATTTATCAAGATATTTATTACAGCAAAAGGATAATGCTTTTACATTGTATCAAACTGTTGTCAAGTAACTAATAAAAGTAACTATTAACCAACAAAGAGTTTTTTTCTGGTCTATTGCAGGTGTCCTCCTCACATTTGCTAACTGCTTCTGTCATGTCTGCACCAGCAGCACTTGCTATAGCCAAGTTATTTTGGCCAGAAACAGAGCAAGTAAAAATCAATATGAAGCAAGGTCTTCAGCTGGAGAAGGGGTAAGGGGCATGTCAGAGGAAATCATAAATGCACATCTGAAGCAGACTTTCTGCAGAGATTTGAAATGACATATAATGTACCAATAGAAATAACAATAAAATCATCCAGTCTAGAAATTTTCATCCACATTGTTTGACAATCTCATGTAAATAGCTAACCATCTACTGTGTGGGAGAGCAGAAAACCTGTTCAATTGTTTGAGATAAACCAGAATGGGCAACATCTGCATCCACTTAAACATAAACATTCAACCACACCAAGCATTACCATCTGTGCAATTGTGCCTGAGGGTGTTTGGATTGTGTGCGTAAATCTAGCTGCACTTTGAAGTCTATGGTCAACTTAATCTAATAAACACATTACTTTAAACATTCAGTATGTTCTTAATTTCATTATCATTTACAGCAGAGTGCGAAAAATAATTTGCATACATATTCCTCTATCTGGTAATTAGAGATGTGCACAACAAAAAAATTTGTTTAGTTTCAAGTTCATTTGTTAAGTCAATCATTTTGTGTAGTCGTGTTCGTTATGTTAGAATGATTTGTTTTCAAAAATTTGCTTTATATATTCGGATTTGTTTCACATATTCTTTGTTCCGAATCGCTTCATATTTTCAGAAGAATCAGATTCATTTGTTATGTCCTTATGTTATTTTGGTGACTTGCTTGTGACCTTGATGTGACTTGCTTGCAACTTTGGCCAATCATAACAATAGAGAGTGTTAGAGATGAGCGAATCGAACATGGCGAAGTGGAATTCGTTTCGAAGATTAGGAAAAATTCGATTCGCGCTGAATCCGAAAATTAGCAAACTTCGGATGCACGAATCAAATTTTCCCAAAAATGGCGGCGACATGTGTGGCGACGGAGCGGGGATCTCTGGGAAGGCGCGCAGACAAGGCGCGCTGACCCATAATGCATTCATTCATGACATGTGATCGCATTAGCCAATCAGCAGCCAGCCAGCCAGCACTGTGTAATGGTGGAGCTATAAATCGCGGCCATCTTAGAATTCTCCATTAGCCTCCGGTCATTCAAGAGAGACAGACCTGTCTGTATTAGGGACAGAGTTAGGGCCACAGAGACTTTAGGGCCACAGAATCGTTACTCAGGGACACAGAATCGTTACTCAGGGACACAGAATTGTTACTCAGGGACACAGAATCGTTACTCAGGGACAGACACAGAATTGTTACTCAGGGACACAGAATTGTTACTCAGGGACACAGAATCGTTACTCAGGGACACAGAATCGTTACTCAGGGACACAGAATTGTTACTCAGGGACACAGAATTGTTACTCAGGGACACAGAATTGTTACTGAGGGACACAGAATCGTTACTGAGGGACACAGAATTGTTACTCAGGGACACAGAATCGTTACTCAGGGACACAGAATTGTTACTCAGGGACACAGAATCGTTACTCAGGGACAGACAAAGAATTGTTACTCAGGGACACAGAATTGTTACTCAGGGACAAAGAATCGTTACTCAGGGACACAGAATCGTTACTCAGGGACACAGAATCGTTACTCGGGGACACAGAATCGTTACTCGGGGACACAGAATTGTTACTCGGGGACACAGAATTGTTACTCAGGGTCACAGAATCGTTACTTTCTGCTTCACAACCACTATTGAATTAAAGAGTATGTCAGACAACACGCAGAGGAGTGGCAGAGGAGGCAATGTTTCAGGAGCGAGCAGACGTGGCAGCAGAGGAAGGGGTCGAGGCAGCACTAGTCGCAGCCAGAGGCCAGTGCTCCCGGTGTCATCCAGCGGTCGTGTCTCCACCGACAACCCTGCCGTCATCGATTGGTTGACTCGGTCGTCTTCCTCTTCCCAGGTCACCTCTGACACCTACAGCCAACGGTCGGTGGGTATGTCAGACACAACCGTTAGTTGGCATGGCCCGGGAGCAAGCCCACTGAAATCACGTGTCCTCTACCTGCCCCTGTCCTTTGGTGTTCCCTCACCAAGTGAAGTATCGCATGCTGTGGGCTTAGCCCCACTGTACAGTGAGGAAGAGCTAACAGAGTGCGGTCAGGAACGGGGGGAGACATCCGCCTCTTCAGCAGCCAGGCGAAGAAGTACTGGCGAGGAGAGTGGCTCGGTAGCCGGTCTAGAGACAGGTCTGTCTCCTGACCCACACGCAGCCGAGGGGGCTAGTAGTGACGCGGAGACCCTAATTGATGATGATGAGGCTGATCGCACTTGGCAGCCTCGTCGTCATCAGGCTATTGCTTCCGCATCATCAGGAGAAGAGGGTGCCAGCTTGCCAGCGAGCAAAACAGTCGGTGGGTTGCCCAGGAGGCAGCAGGGTCGCAGCAGTGTCAGTGGAGGCAAACGGCCACGGAGTAGAGCACCAGCTCCACTGCAGCCTACCACCACGGCCAGTAGTGGTGCCGGTGTGCACGGAGGAAGTAGCAGTCAGCCAGTGAGGAGTAGCGGGGGCAAAGTTTCCTACTCGGCGGTGTGGCAATTTTTCGTCAAGCCGCCCGAGGAAGTAAACGTAGCCGTATGTCGACTATGTGGCCAGAAAGTCAAGCGTGGCCAGGGGGCCCATGTTGGACTACAGCGTTGCGTCAGCATATGCAGCGTCGCCATTCGGTGGCCTGGGGAAAACCGTGATAAAGATACGGCGGTTCTGCCTGCCCCAGCCCCCGCTCCATCACCCGCTCCGTTACTTGCTCCGTCACCCGACGTCAATCGCCCTCTATCAGCCAGTCAAGGCTCCCAACACCTCTGCTGAGGGGAGTTGTCGCTCGTTGGCATCTTCCGCTCGTTCAGATGCTCCTTCTCCTGCTACTCCTCTTCACGGATTCCGTCAGCAGTCTTTCTTGGAATCCGTTTCCAAGAGACAACAGTTTGCGAGCACGCACCCGACGGTGCAGAAGCTGAACGTCCTCCTGTCCAAGTTGCTGGTGCTGCAGTCCCTCCCTTTCCAAGTGGTGGACTCAGCACCTTTCCGAGAAATGATGGCTTGTGCCGAGCCGCTGTGGAGAGTGCCAAGCCGGCATTTCTTCGCCAAAAAGGCAGTGCCAGCCCTGCATTCACATGTAGAAGAGATGGTGGGCCAGTCTTTGAGCATGTCGGTCTCTGCCAAAGTGCACGGCAGCGCCGACGTGTGGAGCTGTAACTACGGTCAGGGACAGTACATGTCATTTACGGCCCACTGGGTGAACGTGGTGCCGGCACAGCCGCACCAGCAACTTGGACAGGTCACGCCGCTTTTGCCTCCACGTTTGCACGTCATTGGTCCAGCAAAGATGTCTGCCTCTACCACCTCTTCTTCCGCTGTGTCCTCAGCCGCCACCCCCGTGCCAAGTCCCATTACCCGACCGGCATATCACATGTGCAGGGCGCAACGGTGTCACGCTGTGCTGCACCTGGTATGCCTTGGCGAACGTAGTCACACAGGGGAGGAACTTCTGAGTGTAATGAACAGAGAAATCGACAGATGGCTGTCTCCGCGCAAACTGAAAATCGGAACCATGTTGACCGACAACGGAAAGAACATGGTGTCTGCTCTGCATCAAGGAAGGTTGTGCCATGCGCCATGCATGGCTCACGTGTTCAATCTGGTTGTCAAGCGGTTCCTAAAATCCACCATCCCACTGCAAGACATCCTTAAAATGTCACGTAAACTTTGCATGCATTTCAGCCATTCCTACACCGCAAAGCACACACCCTCCTTGAGCTGCAGCGGCAGAACGGAATTCCACAGCATCGCCTGATCTGCGACGTTGCAACAAGGTGGAATTCAAGGAACCAGCAAACACAAATGCTCCTGCGCTTGGGGATGGACTCGATGCTACAACCACATTAAGAATGTCCTGGAACATGCACACCTTGCTGCCCTCAAATGGACCGGGGGAATCCAAATATACTGAATTGGGAAAGAACAAAAAGAGGGCGCACAGGCCTAGTGCATTACCATAAAAAATGTTTAATAAAAAATAAAGTAGGTGTTGTACTCACAAACGACAATATAGTCAAGGCACATCATAGAAGAACAGCTGGATCAACACCGCGCTGAGTAACAGTCCACAATAGGGAGTTTAGACATCCAAAAGGCTGACGCGTTTCGAGGACTCTGAGGAAGAGGCAAGTCCTCGAAACGCGTCAGCGGACTTTTGGATGTCTAAACTCCCTATTGTGGACTGTTACTCAGCGCGGTGTTGATCCAGCTGTTCTTCTATGATGTGCCTTGACTATATTGTCGTTTGTGAGTACAACACCTACTTTATTTTTTATTAAACATTTTTTATGGTAATGCACTAGGCCTGTGCGCCCTCTTTTTGTTCTTTCCCCATTCAAGGTGGAATTCAACCCTACGTATGTTAGACCGCCTTTACGAACAGCGAAAGGCCATCACCGATTTCCTGATGTTACAAGCGGATAAAGGTACTCCCCTGTGTAACTTAGATGTCAGCCATTGGCAGCTCATGCGTGACACCTGCCGCTTGCTCAGGCCCTTTGAGGAGGCCACGCTATTCGTGAGTCGGCAGGACTATGGGATGAACGACGTCATTCCTCTGTTGCACGTCCTGGAACAAATGCTGTTAACAATGGCTGGTCAGGGTGCGGTAGACGTGGCGCACAGATCTCAACGCCACATGACCCCTGTGGGGGCAGGACAGGAAGAAGAGGAGGAGGTAGAGGAGGACATTGGTGCTCAGGAATTATTGAGTGAAATGGGTGGTTTTTCCACTCAGCGGACAGGAGTGGAGGAGCAAGAGCATCTGGTAGAGGAGGAGGAGGAGGAGACAGAGGACCCAGACGCACCGTGGCAGTATGCTGTGGAGATGGAGGCAGGGAGTCCCTCGCATTCCTTGGCACAAATGGCCCATAGCATGCTCGGTTGCTTGTGTAGCGACAGCCGAATAATAACCATCAGACAGAGGGATGACTTTTGGCTGTCCACCTTGTTGGACCCTCACTACCGTTCAAAAATGGTGGCCTTTTTCACACCTGCTGAGAGGGAGGCCAAA